CTCATGCTCCCCAGGACTCCTGTCAGGCAGGGAAGCGGACTGAGCCCAGCTCTTCTTACATGAACCGTCGGACTACTGACTAAATTAAGGTATGAATAAAAATAGCCTACGCCCATCCCCTCCACCCACCTTGAGCTCTTTTAGAAAAAGGGAAGAAAAAAATTATATTTATTGCTGCATTTTTGGACACCTGATCTGGAAGGTGGGCAGACTGAAAACACCTGCTGCACTGAGTCCTTAGGGAAGAAAGTCAGAGATGTTCATCTAGTCATTGTAAGGGACTGAAGTCCGAGGTGGATGCTGCAGGCTTTACAAGGGTCAGAGACTTTTGGCCTGCCACTACAGCCAGTGATAGACACCTGGGCATCTTGAATATGTCATTGTGGAAGTCACTACCACATCAGATGCCCGAGGTTTCTTTGCATTTTGCTATGACATAAGTGATTTTAACATAGAGCGTCAATTAATGAGAGGCAGAGTTCAGCATCAGTTAAAACCGCGTATTTTACAGGTTTGAAGTTGCACTAGAAGTTGAATAAGGCAAAGCAGTGTCTTCTGTCTTCTTGAGCTTTTTCCTGACCTGTGTGCACAACTCTGTTTGTACTGGGAGTGAGAGGGAGTGGACATACACCGAACTTTTCCCCAAAGTGGAAACTGTGAGCAACAGCCTCATTTCTCATGAGATTTGTCCAAGTAGTTCAACGTGCTGTGGTCAATTTACTTTGTTGCCATCCAGTAAATACAGGTGGGTAGCATGCAATCATACTGGTGATACTTAAACAAAATATTCCTTTCTGTTGTGACTGCACACCATTGACACCTCTAGTGTCCATTTTGCAGTAGGGGAAATGCTCTGACCCAAGGAACACCTAAGAAAATGAAGCAAGAGCCCTTAGAAACACAGTGCGAGCCATCATACCTAATGCTTGGTTTTTATGTCATGATGAGATTTCCCCCCCCCCCCCCCGCTACCCAATGTAAGGGTACTGTGATACCTAAATAATTGATTATCTTAAGTTTCCCCTAACCCTGACATCTGGAAAGAGCTGTGGCTGTACAAAATACCATCTATTGCTAATGCTTTAGACAGCCCTAGCACCTCTCACCCTGAAGGACCAGACCCCTTGAACTCTCGACCATGACTACCTTCCCATTCCCCCAAAAGGCCACAGTAAATGAGGTTGTCTTAGAGAAGTCCAGCTGTGTGATAGCAGCTGCTGCCTTATGCTCCCCTAAAGGGAAAGTGGGGCCTGTTTTGGGGTGTGATGGGACCAACTGGCTGTTAGCCTTGCATTTTCTCTGTCTCTGTGCCCTTTGCTGCTCTTGGAGGGGTGGCCCTGCAGAAGAGGGTCCCAAAGGATGTGCAGCAGCCAAATACAGCCTCTGCTGGAGGGAAAACTTGTGCACGATTCGGAGCAAGTACCACTTTACAATAACTTCTGGTAAAGAGAAGCTGTGGAGAATAAAACAACTAATTGGGTCTGTGTCAGGATGCTTTAGTACCCATGCTGAAATTTGGCCAAGGGAATGAAGCTCACACCTTTCACTGTTGCACACAAATAAACCAATATTTCCAAGGGATCTTTCACAACCAGCATTGGTGAGGATTTATCACATATAATGTCCAAACCTGAATGCACCTGGCTCTGGTATGGGATCATTGGTGATTGTTTTTTGGTTTGGGTTTGTTTTTTTTAATATTCCATTTTCAGCTGGAAATTACTGATGTGACCAAAGTCCGATTCCCTTCAGCAGTTTCTCCCTTCCTCCCCCCACCTTTTCGCACTCCCTGAGGTCTGACCATCTGGAAATCCTCCTCCACCTCTTCATCATGTGTGAATTTCCACCTAGGGCTGAAAGTGTCACTGTACTAAAGTGTGATGCATTAACACATTGAGGCAGAAAGCAGAGGGGAGTTGGGGATTATAACACTTCATGACCCACTCTGCAGTTGCTCTATGATTTAATCATCTTTATCAGCTTGTATCCTTTTCTTTGTATCCCTGTATTTTCCCTGTATCCTTTGTTAAAATATTCCCATAATTAAAAAAACCCCACTACCCAAACAAGTAAAGTGCAGTACCTTGTCTTGTGACTAGGATCAACTGCAAAAGGCAAATACCTCGAGGAGAGCATGCCTCACTCAGGCAAGCTGAGGGACCTAGGTTGCTCTTTCACAATGAAGCTCACTATTATCTCGATCTCGTATTGCATATTGCAAACTTGGGGTTCTTTCCTGCCAACACTCATGTACATGAGCTGAGAAATTGTAATTTTTATTTTTTATATATAGAATATAAAGTATAAGCAGTAATAATGCTATCTTGTATAGAAATGCAAACAAGCCGTGCAAACTATGTGCCGTGTTGGTTTATCCTTTCGGCAGAGGGGAATGGAAAATTCGCTAGTTTGGAAGTCAGTTAGCTCCCTAGCTGCCTTCTAACTAAATACTGAGGCTTATTATGCTTCAAATAAATGTATGTATATATATATATATTTCTTTTGTGGCTTGGTTGCTGTAATCATCTTGGATGTAATAATGCTACTAGCCTCAGGGCTATATTTATTAAGATTTTAATTTAAAAATTTCTGTCCTTCAGCATCTAAACAGAGGAAAACCCCATCTGGAGTAGCCAAAAAAAAAAAGTTCATCCTTTTCTTTTTCATGCGTTCCCCTCCCCTAGGCCCTCTCTCTCATCTTTTAAGCAAAAAACCTAGAACAACGTACTTTCCTGTTGTAGCTCTGTACCCTCCTGTCGCTTCAGTACCTGTGTAGGTTTGGTAGACCCAATGTCTGCTTAATATGACCCACGTATTCCTGCTCTTGCTGTCTCCGGAGCAGTGGTTTGTTTTCTTATCCTCATATAATAGTACCAGTGTACTTCACAGTAATATTTCCACATGCTATGATTTATTCTTAATAACGCTCTCAGTAAGGATCTAAACCACAGCAATAAATGTTGGGGGGTGAGACTATTACTCAGAACTGGCAAAGGGCTGTGGAGAAGTTTTAGGGTTGTTCTTTGTTAACAAGCTGCCCCACTTCCTAGGAGATCATGGCAAGGGAATAACAGAATGAGGAGACCTGCTTGTAACCTGGGGAGTGAAAAACTCCCACAATCTTAAAACCCCTTTGAGGGGATGTCTCAGTCCAGGGGACAGCCTGAGCTGTCACAGTGTATGTGCTTTTTCAGGTGTGTTGGAAGAAACAGCGGATGTTGGTGCCCAAGTTGTATAGAGTTTGCAGTCCGTTTTGTTTTAATCCTGTGGCGTATTCAAGCTATTCCCTCATGAGGGGACAGACAGCACTGACTTACAAATGGTAAATATTGAGCAGGGCAGAAGGTGATTCAGAAATTTTTGTTAATAACTCTCTCACATGATTTAGTAGTACTGGGACATCAGCGATGGGTGGTAGCAGAGGATCTTGCTTGTAGCTAATTTCAGTGTAGCAAACGTGGAGGGTGAGACAGCCTCAAAATACTTGTGAGACGCTTGCAATGGCTAAATGGCCCTGGGTAAATGACTGTAAATCATGTGGGTCCACTAACTGTGACAGTGCTACTGCTCTGCCCCAGTGGAAGATCCTCCTTGCTTGAACTGAGCAACTTGGTGCTGTTACAGGAGCCCCTTGCTCCTAGCCCCAGCAGTGAGTGCATCAGTCAGCCATATCACAGTCATCTCTAAAATCCCACTCCGATGTTCTTGTGCAAACAGCCAAACTGCACAATAGTTTTGGTTTGATATAACAAAAGACACATGGAAACAAAACTGGGCAATTTAAGTACGAACAGACTGAAAATAACTTTTGACATAGAGTACCAAGGCCAAGCTCCATGAAGAGGATTAATTCCTGTATGCTGCTTTTCTCCACTGAGTTTCAAAGCAACTTACGGAGGGTTGAATGCTCTCATCCTCAACTTGCAGGTAGTGACAATGGGGTAAAGAGGAAGAAATCCAGGCCCGAGCACAGGTCTTCCGGCTGCAGCCAGTCCCACAGGCAGTAGGTGTAGACAATTCCTCTACATTGTGCTGCTTGCTTGTAGAAAAGAGAAGGTGGCTTGTGTTCAGGTACTCATCGAGTGCTACTGAGTATTTGTCATGAGATGACTCGAGCTGTTTCTCCCACAGAATTGGAAAAGTAGCAGCTATTTTTTTTGCTACTGAGCTCCATTTAAAATCACAGAGAAACCTCTCCATCTTGTCACCACTCCCTGATAAACACTGATTTTCTCAGGACAGCTGATTTTAACATTGCTCCATCCTACTGTTCGTTTCCCTGATCTATTAGATGTATCAGTCACAACTGGATGTGTAGAAGAAATGCAGCAGTCGACTTCTAAATGTGTTGCCTCAGTAAGTAGCGTTCAAATTATGAGAAGTCAAGTTTTAACTACTTTGTTTACCACTTAAATGCAGATTTTATTTTTACTCACTTTGCTACTTTGCAAGGCTTTTGGTGTGAACTTAAACAAACATGAAAATCGTGTTCTTTAACAGTATGTTAAAAGTGCTTGTATGTTAAAAGTGCTCACCACAAAGCAGACACTTCTTTGTTGGGCAACCAGCACAGCTTTTTCATGTTGTCTATGTGTCCTCACCCGCCCCAACCTATTTAGGTCAATACAAGCAACTTCAGAGGAAGTCACTGCCTGGTTATAAGGCTACGGCTTTGGACTGCAGAGACAGACCGTGAAAGGAAAACAAGAGCACTTCTGGGCCATCAACAAGAGGTGCATAGCTTTTGAACATCACACAAGGTATCCACTCGATGGTGGTCAGTCCCTTTCCTTTGGAAATCGAAGCAATCCCTGAATTTGGTCCCTTTGCCAAATCGGATGCTGCTTTGTGCAGAGACCTGCCTGAGGTGATGTACCTGACTGCATCGCTCATGGCACAGGAGATCTACCTGCGCTTCGTGCCCCACAGCAAACCTGAGAGCTTGGATGCAAACCTTCCCAGACCTTCCCAGGGTCATTGAAGAGGACCGATCGGCCAACATGTTGCCCGTGATGCACCGCCAGGTAGCTGAGCTGGGAGAGCAGGAGGGAGCGGGACTACAGCCGCGTTAAAGCAGGTGCAGTGGGCATGAGAGGCTGAGGCTGTGAGTATACCCCTGCAACCCTGTACCGCTGCCCCCCATGCCCCCGTCCTGCCTGACACTCATGTGAGGAGCTGGCATTCAATAGGTGCTCTTCAAAACCTGTTGAGAGCTTCATTTTATTTCTCTGTGACTCATCTTCCAGATTCTTGTTGTACCTGCTTTAGATGAGGAGTTCCCAGCTTGGTCAGGTCCTTTGTTTCTGCTTCCAAGTGGTGTTCAGAGTAGGACCCTTTTTTTAGAGAGCACAAATCTCTGTTAACAGACAGTTTTCAGTTAAAGAAGCAGGGGCAGGAGCAAAGTAGCCGGATTAACCTCATAGTGGTTTTTTTTCATGAGTTAGGTCTACCTTTGCCAGTTCAGAAAGCATTCAGGTCATTCAGAATGGCTTTTACTCACTTGATTTTCAGTAGGACTTTCCCTTCTGCAGAATTATGGTTCTTTTGAAACATCCTCTGGTTTTGTTGCAATTGTTTTAAAAGTAATTGCGCGTAGTGAGGAAGCAGCCTGATTACAGATACGTAATTTCATCTGAGGCAAAAGAATGGCATGAATACAAATTCCAGATAGAGCACGGTGCTCCCCGCTTGCCTCTGTAACCATGTGTCTCAGTTGCTCCGTACTTCCAGCAAGATGACAATGGCCACCTTGTAAAAAGCTCTTTCAGATACAGGGCAGAAGTATATACTTCAAGGTCTAGCCTTGAAACTTCTGTGGGATAGCAGTGCTCTTCTGAAGTGCCATTTAAAACAGATTGCATTTCACTACGTGCAAAAATCCCCCGTGTAGATGCAGCTATATGAGCAAAAAAAAGTGCTTTTTCCAGTATAGCCTATTTTATTTGGGAAATGCTTGCAGAAAAAGATGCTTGTGCTAGTAAAACTTGTATTTGCTGGTTATCAAAGGAGAAGCATTTCTAGTGCAAACTGGGCCTCTTATATATGAAGCTTTATTCAGTTCAGCCATCAGTACAGTAAAGAAAATCCTTCCTCGAAGGGATTAGTAAGGTTACCTAATAGATATTATTAATGGTGTAAGAGCATAAAAGGTGCTTTGGCAATACATGAGGGGCTAGATCCTTTGCTAGTGTAAATTGTTACAGTCCCACTGAGGGCATCACGGAACCACAAGAGCAGCAAGGGAGCTGCCTTGTGCCACCGCTGTCTGCTTGGCTTCTAGAACTTCCCACCGACTCGGGAAGGCGCAGAGCTGCACTGGCCGACCTCTCCAAAAGCGTGACTTCTGCGTCTGCTGCCCCCTGAGAAAAATGTGCATAAGCAAATATCCAGGTTATAAAGGAAGAGCTGTAGTGGTTTGATGCCTCAGAAACATACTGGTTTACACTGGCTGAGGATCTCAGTTTCTACTGATTTCATTATACTAGTAGCTTTAATAAGCATCAGATTCCAGTCACGAGACTCGATGTTGCTCCAGAAAATACCCTCCGATACTGTACCTTCTCACAGCGGGGCTGCCTGGCTAACTGTGTGCTTGCCCATTAAGCACAAATCCCAGCCGTTTCCTTCCCCGTTTCCCCCTGCATTTAATGTATGGAAAAGCATGACCCTGAGTCAGATGAATAGCAGCCGGTTTGAGAAGGTGTGTGTGAAAATGTATCCTCGCGCAGATGAGCTCGGAACAAACAGAATAGAGGGGAGGAGGGGAGGAGAGCGGAGCGGGGGGAGTGTGACGCTACCCTTTCCCTGATCGTTCAGCCACTATGTGTGAGCAACAAGTTTATGCCCAAGGGAAAGAACTGAAAGCTAAGGAGACCTTAAAATTAACAGAGCTTTATGGCTCAATCAATAGGCCGTGCTCCCTGAGCAAGATTAGAAATCAAATGGCACATTTCTCTCTGTTAACCCCATTTGCTCTCCCTGTAGGCTCTTCTGCCTGAAAGCATCTAAGATTTGATTAAGTTCTTCTTCAGGAAGCCAGAGAAAGTCCGTTGGGTGAGCTGCCCCCAGAATGCTGTATTGGACACACTACTTTAACTAACAATAGAGGTTATTAATGTATTAGTCTGTAGTAATTACTAGAGAAGATAAGTCTTCCCAATATTTGAATATGCAAAATGGCTTTGGCTAACTGAAAAAGGGGGGGTTGGGGGGGTGTGTGGAAGCCCAAACGTGCCACTGCAGTGAGTAACAGGGATGATTAAAAATCACTGTATGTAAAAAAGGGAACCTCTACCTTGTTTTACTGCTAGAAATACCTTCCTGGATTTGTTATCCCCACTGAAGACATGGTATTTTCCCTCTTTGGCATTTCATTCTCACTGGGGCACTGAAATTGTTGCTTTCAAAGGGAGAGGGACTGCGTTTGCACCTATTTCTTGTTTGACAGTGACCTCTATGAACCAGTCATCACTGCTCTGCCTGTTGTTTTCTTGTTAGCTCTTTGCTGTCAAATTAATTACTGTGAAGTACTAAGCTTGTTGCATTCACGTGCTCTTATTAGCTCACAGGATGTCAGAGTGATTGGATTTTTAGCATTATTTCTTTTTTTACATTCTAGGCTTTCCATTCAAAACCTGTTACTGGCAGGGAGGAAATACTGTATCTAATTCTGATCTCCCATCAGGGTAGCTCCAGTGATCCCGAGGATTTGATTTACAATGCTGTGTATGCTGTATATTACAATTGGGCTGTGTTTATATCAAACCCAGTACAAACAATCAGATCGGGATTGCAATGTGACTTTGCAGCCCAGCATTACGTGTCTTTCCTTTTGCAGTACAGAACAAGAAAGAAAATATTTATGATGAGAATAGCATTTGCCCCTTTCATTCTTAAATCACAGTAACAAGCTGATCCTCCAGCTGACCCTCTTTACGCTCTCGCATTGCTTGTATTTGTGACAACCAGCAGAGCTCACAGGTGTGCAGTCCGGGATGCATGAGAAGTTTTATTCTTCTTTCAAAAACTGAAACGCAGAGAAGGGGCTTCTTAGCTGTCAAGCTTGAAATTTGCCTGTCCTGCTTCTGCTGCCCCTTGAAAATCAGCTCCATGAAAAAGATTAAGGTCTTGAGGTTTGCTTTCATTCTTGAAGGTAGATTTTTCTTTGTTAAAAAAAAAAAAGAAAAAAAGAAAAGAAAAACGAAGATGTAATT